CATAGCGGCGGCGGCGCAAGGCTGCGGATGGTGGCCAAAGTGGAAGGGGACAATGCGTCTGCAGAGGCCGCGAACCAAAGATGGTAGCTGCCGAAGGCCTTGGTGCGGCTTGGCCGTCGGCGAACACCACCGCAGAGGGGTCAGCCCACTGCACTGGGGCGAGCACGGCCACGGCGCGTCTGCACAGGCTCCAGTGGTGCCACAAGGTGTGAACAGCTTCTCCTGTCTTCTAGGATCGTCCTCTCCTGTCACAGCTGGCCGTCCGTGCAAAGCTCCACTTCGAGGAAAAGAACCAACTCAAATTCTTCGGCACGACCAATAACTCGTTGATGTTCCAAAAAAATAACAGAGACGGCCTTTCTTGTGATCCTTTCCTTAATCACCACCTAGACTAACTCAAATTCCATCTCACTAGACCAGGCGTGCTCCTGAAGCTGCTGGAAGAAATGAAGACGGGCGTGGCGAAGCCGGTGGGTGAGCACCGGACAGTGCTGCTGCAGGTGACGGACATCGTCCCAGTGGACATGGACGAGGTGGACCTGTTCCCGTGCCACGACCGGAGAGGAGGCTAATGTCAAGATGAGACGACCGGTGGCGGCGACTGCCTCAGTCCAGGCGAACACGTGGTCTCCGGCTGCGTGTGGCTGGCTGGCGGCGTTCCCCTGGTCCTCCGCTACCGGCTGTGTGCGTGGTCTCCGGCTGGTCGTGGCCAGCAGGAGGCATTCTCGTCTGCCGACAGTGCGCTTGGTCTACGACTAAATATGTGTACTAGTTCCGACCGTGGGCTGTTTAGAGGATTTAATAGTGCATAATACTTTTGGAACGTGATGAACAAACCAGTATGGTACTGATCTTAGATATGGTATTACATGTTTTACAGACGTTTCCTAAGGCTTTTATACACACAGATAAGTTCAGCTAAGGACCAAATTATTGGAGTGCAACATTCATGAACATCTGTAGAATATCGGTGAACTGATTGCTTCTTTTTTTGTGTGTGGAACTGATTGATTGTTTACTTAGATATCCAGTATAGTCGCACAATGCGCTAGGGGCAAAAAAGGTCTTCTCATCTCACACTTTAACATCGTTACTGCTTAAATGGAAGCAAAAGTTACATTGAGCGTCAAATAGGGAAGAAAATTGTATTTTGGGCTAAAAGAAATAGGGAAGGAGATTTTAAGGAAGGGCCAAATAAGGAATTCTCTGATAGAAGTCGACAGGACACTATACCTGGCCAAATAGGTCTTATCACTACTAGAAACTATGAGTTTACCACTTTACCTAGAGCTTATGACTCCCCTCAAGGGAAACAAAAGCTATGAACAGTCAGCTCTAGGAAAAGATGATTTTTGGGTGAAAATAAATGAGTAAAACTTTACCTACAGTTAAGTTTGGCCCCTAGGTAATGAAGACCACGCAGACACCATGTTGATTAGAAAAATAGGAAGAAGGTTCGGTGATACCACGTGAAAGCTATATTTTGGTGGGCAACTATTTTTTTTGTTATTCCCACGCTAGCACCGCGTGTTTTATTTCGGCCCACGCTGTTGGGCCCACTAGGCAGTGACTATGGGCCAAAGGAGCTTGGCACTAGTGGACAAAAAGTTTCACCAAGTCTAGGTCTTCCATGTCCGGCCATCTCACTTTCCCCCATCTCTCCAGATCCAGCGCCGCCGCCTCTCCTTCTCTTCTCCCCTTCCGTCACAAATCAAGCACCGCCGGTTGTGATTCCGCTGCATGCCAACCTCTTTCTCTCTGAAGGTCGTCGCCCCTCGTCCCTACCCCTTCCTCGCGCACCGACAGATATTGGCACCGGCACACCATAGGCACTGCAAGGTGAGCCCATGCGGCATGGGACAAGAGGAAACATGTGGCTACTCGGTTCCATGGTGTATAGGGAGATTGAGCGACGGCGGTGAGCAGGGACTTGGGCTAGCGCCGATGAGCAGGGAACAACAGCAGCGGCGCCTGCAAGCACCATCCTCCATTGACAAATCTCCCTCTATTGAAGGTGTATACCCATGCTCAATAACTTGCAAGTTGCTGGTGATTACTTATTGGTTACTGGAACTGATGAATTTTGATGAATCTAGGTACTTATGACATTTGTTTTCTGGATATGTTGCTACATGTTTCCTATCCGAATTAATGTTGATGATTTTTGGTGCGTATAACAGTACATACTCCCTCTGTAAACTAATATAGGACGCTTTAGATCACTATAAGGAGTACATGAACATGAGGAGTGTTACTTCTACTTCCATTGATGTCTCCCTGAATCAGGCAGAACTTTTTATCAAGAAAGAGAGAGGCAAAAAATCAGAACGAAAATAAATTACATGCCCAGTGAGTCACTAGCCAATAACCATGTGTACTTCCATATTGCACAAATAGGGACAAAAAAATGATCTGCAATTAATCATCTAGGCAATCAGGTTAACACGTTGGTACTATTTTTCTTTTTCATCCAAAACAGGTCCATGATGTACTGAGCTTCCTAAACAGCAGTAGACAAGCATAAGAATCCTAGTACTAATTAACATGCTCAGTGCAAAGATAGTGATAGTGTTGGCAAACAAATCATGAGAATACTGAACAAGATTTTTTGTTAGTTCGACAAGTTTAGTGTTTAGGTAACATGTTTTGTAGAGTGTTTTTGGAATTGTAAATGGTGTCTGTCTCATGGCATAATATCCTGGATTTATCAGAACTACTATGCAGCTCCTATGCCATCAACTACTCATTGAAAGGAATTCAGACAGAAAGCAATTATTAACAGCTGCATATTTGGAAAACAATAGCAGTTGCAAGGTGTATGTCGGTATTGGCACACTCGTGCATACCATTATTTCTTAAGTAGCTCAATGCGGCAAGACCAAGTTTGTCATGAGTTTGCCAGAGATAATTTTCATATTCATATAAATAATTTGTTAGTTATTTATGGTCTTTTCAAAGAGTCGCTATTCTCTAGATATGTCTTGAATTAATTTCTGCATTTTTTAGTTATGCATGGCCTTCTTCACAAATATTTGAACTTACATTGGCTCTTGAAGCTTGGGGATCTTACGACGACCAATATCTGCGGCTAACGAACAAATTATAAATGACTGCTCTTCAGGGAAGCCCCATGGATAATTGGCTCTCTTCAATGGGTCTACTACTGTGTTATTACCGGCAAGACATCATTGCACCGTCCTCATCCAAGAACTTCATATTTAATCTCATGTTCATGTATGTACTGTTCGTGTCTCACATCAACTCTGCATTGTTTTTGTTTGTGGCTTGACCATGTAATTTTGATTTGATTTCAATCTCTAGTTATATGCAAACTTGTGTAGTGTCAATTGAAATGAGCTAAGCATGAACCTTAGTTGTATGCGTTCATGAAAAACTGAACCAAGAACCAGAAATCACTTTATGCCATCAAGCACTTATCATACTAGCTAGCAAGTCGCTATACATTTGAAGCATGATCGTGTATGTTTTCACATCTGAGCTCTTCTCTTGCAGATTTTGGAAACTAATCAAGAACCGCCAGCTTTGTGTGCGCAGCAACACTCAGATGTAAGTTTTCTGGAACTAACTTGAAATGATACAAACTATGTATGCCTCTAGGGTGTTAATGTTAAAATGCATGCTTCAGTGATGTGCACAGCTTTATGTGTGGTGATCTGCACTGTTGTGATTATATGCATGCTTCTGTGCAAAGCATGATCATGGATTTTTTTTATGCAGGGGCTATGTGTAGTGTGGGGAGCGATTAAATCCTCTTGTCTTATGCCCATATTGTCCAAATTACGTTCATTATGCTGCCTACCAGAATATTCAAGTCTTTGAACTACGTGCTAAACTGCCTGCCATCACTAATTTTCAGGATCACAATCTCACTTGGATGCTTCTGCCCCAGATTTGGAGCTTAACGCTGCAAAGATGTTTTCTATCCAGTGCATCTCGAACTTAACTCACTCGCTTGTCCCTCCACGGCAGCCAACCTCTTGATCCTTGCTTTTCTGGGTCTTGAAGTCTATCGAGCATAGATAACATGTTGTTGCAAGTTATTTGCAGTAGCAGATACTTAGCCTGACCAACAATGCTTGTACATGCTGATTTAGGTATTCTGCTAGCTGTAGAAATTTTAGATGTGGTGTATTTTTTTTAATTCTGGCTTGAAATCAACCATGAGTCCGATGTATGTGTCATTGTATGTTGAATTTTGGCTACAATTTATAAATTGGAATTATGGCTCGGGATTGAATTGTTTGAATTATGGCTGGTATGAATTTAAATTCAAGTTGCATATTTTTATATGGCAGATAAAAATATGATGTATCCCTAGGGTATTATTTGAACATATGGGGGAAATAGCTGTAGGGCAAGTTGTGACGTGGCATAATTCAAAAGGACCCCACCATCTCTCCCTAGAGCCAAACATGCTTGTAGGTGAACTACCTTTCCACGTTGGACAAGCAGCCAGGTTGAATTATTTCCCTACAGCTTACGGCTCTAGGTAAAGAAATGGTTCCCAAGAGCTTGACAAGGGCACTCTAGGGAAAGAGCTCCTTACCGACTATTCTTCACCTAGGGCAAGCTCTAGGTAAAGCCTTTAGCTATGGTTTTTTGCCTTTTACCTTAGGATATATGGCTCTAGGTAAAATCGTAGTTTCTAGTAGTGTATAGATGCTATCCTGCTCAAATCATTTTGCAAAGTAAAATATGTTACTTAGTTCATTTGAATCTCACTACTTCAATGTTCTAAACTTCTAGTCGATATGATTTCTGAAGAGCATGGCCCACAGCACATAAGACATGATATCATATGATAGTCTAGCCTCTAATTGAATAGATAAAGAAAACTTGTAGGTGGCCACAAGACAACATTAACTACATACCCTGGGCGACGCCGTTTTTGCTTAGACTTGCTTTTTGAACTAACTTTGGTATCCTCATCGCCAGTATTGTAATTGCCACCTAAAATTTTGGGAAATACTGATCATATATATGAACACGCGTATTCTATCAGGTAAAGAAAACTATATACAGCTAAATAAATGATCATGCAGTGTACAACATTGCTAAACTTCTAATACAATGAAATGCAAAAGCCTGGAAGGGAGGTGGTATAACAGCATTACTATATATTAGAAGTCATTTTTTTTCACTTGTTATGTTATGCAATACATAAGTACAATAACAGAAAAAAATTCACTATGTCAAATAACTTATCGGTAAATTCATAAATACTGATGGTATAAGTGACTTGATAATAAAGATGTCTTATAGTATAGAAAATGTTTCCTTTGTTCCTTGGTATGGACTCATTTGAGGTACATATATAGTAGTACGTGAAACAGGAACTACTGAAAAGAACTCATATGCAAGTTAAATGTTAGATAAAAGTATTAACTAAGGACAAGTTCGGAGCTATCATCTGTTCAATACTTACCATTCTCGTGCACATCAGAATACAAGCCTGCTGCCAGCCAATTTTTCATGAAGGCCTTCTTTACCCGTTTCATAAGCTCTATTATGTAATCACCTTTACTGTTATACTTGGTACAATTATCCCATATAAACTGCACGTCCTTATAGACATCCTCTGAGTTCATATATTTGCTTCCACGTTCTAAATCTTGACATATTGTGCCAAAATCCATAGGAGTGTCGATAACATCAAGATAATCCTACACAATTTGCAAGTGTGAGGGGAATAAAAAAATCACATGAAAATAAAGTGAATTATTTTCCATAAGAAATTGATTTAGGAGCTTGCATGCATATAATTAGTTTCTTAGGTAATTAGAACAATGGTCACAAGACATGCAGCTAGAGAAGTCTGTCTGAGACACTGCTGTGGAAGTGGTCTGCATTTGTAATTACTGTTTCTTACTATTAGTATGTTCAAGAAAAACAAATAGACTGGGGTTCAGAACTTGATCTTGTGAGCAAGGAAAGCTTGACTAGGTTTTAGCCAAATTAATCATATAATTAGGCAGAGCTTTCACGTATGCCATAGATCAATAGCCCTATCATAACCATCAGTTTTATTTACTCGGCCATAGAATTAAAGATGGGGCAGCAACCTACTTGAAAATAGAGTTACCCCAGAAAAATTGCAGAAAAAAAAGATAGGGCATGGGAAATGGAAACCTGCATACTCATAGCAAGTAGATGTCTGAACCAATTCAGTGGAAGTGATCGATACTACACCACTGAAGACATTTTGTGGAAGTGACTATACGACACCGAGACTTATGAGGGGCTGACTCAACTAAGTGTTTAAGATCAATATATTTATGTGTGAAGCCTACCAAAGTTCCAGGTGATTTGAAAAGAAAGAAGAGGCACCACAAAATACTCACAGGTATTCCCAAAGCAATAGGATCCACTGGGGTGTTAAATGGCTCAGCTGCGTCGACCTTCATAACCTTCTTAATAGCCTGAGAGCAAAAGAGAATTTCAGTAAAGGTTTCATTTATTTCAGGTCTTTACCATGTGATATTTGGAGAATCAAAAGACGCCAAATAAAGTTGAGCCAAATTGTACTCACTTCAAGTGCAGCAGCTAACTCTTTCTCATCACGCTGAGATTCCAGGGTAGACTGCTTTATCTCTGACCCTTGTGAGTTCTTTGGCTCCGATGCACTCTCACTTTCCTCGGTTACTAGAACAGTTTCCTGCTTACTTGGAAGAGGTTCATGTACTTCATCAACTTCCCTGTCCTGGGTGTTATCTTGTACTGAAGAAGATAATCCCGCCGAGACGATCTTTATGCTTCCTGCTTTCTTTGCCACCTTGTCCTTATCAGAACCACTCAACTCCGACTCCTGCCCATCAGTTGTCTGGCCAGTTGACGATGCAGTGATACCTTTTTCGGCAGTAGCTTGCTTGCTCACTTCAGGAGCGGCAGTCTGAGATTTACCAGCATCAGCGGATGCCTGAGCTACAGACGAACTATTGTTGAGCTCTACCACCTTGGAGGTTTTGAACTTCAGCTTCACACGACCGTATACCGCCCCCACCTTCGGCTTGGCGTACGGTATATCAGCGGTGGGATGAGCCGGAGCTGGGGCAGGGAGGATCGGCTTCTCTGGTTCAGGAGGAGGAGATGGTTCAGGCACTGCCGGAGTGGACCTCGAGACAGGCGCATTCTCCGCTGGGATGTTCTCCTCGGTGCTTGGGCTGGACGGAGATGCAGACGAAGAGTCTCCCCCGGTGGTATTCGAAGAACTCTTCTTGCCCGGCGTGTGGCCGCGCTTGCGCTTCATCTTATCCGTCTCTTGCTAGCACCCAAAGATAAAATTCTTGGAAATAAGCCGCTCCGGCACCTGCGCGCCGCGCCCTGAGGGGATCGATCTCGTGCCGGAGTGAATTAGGAGGACCTAATCGAAGCAGCCATGAATGGACGGATGGATGGGTTAGATTACCAGAGGCACCGGACATCCAAGAAAATCAGGCAGCGAAGAGAGAAGCTAGGGTTCCTTACCGGCAGAAGAAGAAGAAGGGTCGACCCACGGCAGTGCGGTACCGGTGGAGCTGGCTTGTTGCGTCCTGTTGGTGCCACGAACTTGTGAGGAATAAAAGACCGGGAACTGGTAGGCGACGAATTTGGGGGAGGGATCGGGGAAGAAGAGGGGTAGGCTGGAGGAGGAAGAAGAAGAGGATTAGAAATCTCGGGAGCCTTTGTGGGTTTGTCAACTGGGCTGCGTGTCTTTAAAATAGTTCATGTGGGCCGGGCTGATTCTTATGG